CGAGCCACAACACGTCAGTTGGTAACACGGGGTTAATATTCAGCCCGAACACACAGTGTAATGAACTGGAGCTGATTGATTAATCAGTCGATTATTAGTTGATCTCTGTCAGAATCAATTATTGGTTTCAGTCACTGATCAAACAAACAGCAGCTCCTCTAACAAGAGGACCGTCTGCTTCTGTCTCAGTGAGTTAAACAACCAATCAATAAAATAATCCACTGATTAATCAATAACGAACAGAGCTGTGAGATTAATCAATCAAATCTGATCTGAGAATCATTCAGTCATTTTAGTCCTGCCAAAATATCATCATCATCATCATCATCATCATCAGCTGACTGTCCAACCACATCATACACGTCTGACATCATCCTGATCGACTGATCGATTGATCGATAAATAACCAATGACTCACAGAGACGCAGCGGCTCGACGCTGAATCCAAACACACCGACACACTGCAGCTGAACCTCGCTCAGCCGCCCTCTCCTGCTGCTGCAGAGAAAAACCTGTTTTCTTCTTCTGTAGTTAAAAGACGAAAACACCGACACACACACAGATGCCAACACACACACACTGAGCTGTGTGTCGAATGACCGTCCACACACACACCGTTAACACACACTCTGTGCTGTCAGTAAAGGTCTCTCGTCCTCTGACTGAAAAACATTCAGCCTCCAAACGACCGAGCGACCGCACAGCGCCGCCACCGACACGCTGCAGCACACACACACACACACACACACACACACACACACACACACACACACACACACAGTGGGGGCGGGGAGAAAGACAGCTGAGAGAGAGAGAATAAAAGGGGAGTATCGCTCGACTGAGAGCAACCCTCCTCCTCCTCCTCCTCCTCCTCCCAGCATCTGTCAACACCCCCAAACACACACACACACACACACACACACACACACACACACACACACGCTTTCCCGCTGCTTACAGCTCTGCAGTGTGTGTTTATCTCGTGTTGTATGTGTGTAAATGAGTGTGTGTGTTTTTTGCCCTGTTGTTGATGTTGTTTTCATGTCCCAGAATCCCCTGCTGCTTCTGCTGCTGCTGCTTCTGCTGCTGCTGCTCTGACCTTCACCATCTTGCTGTCTTAAAGTGGACACATTTAAAAACTTTTAAAAACCGAAATCCCTCACTGCTCATCACACAGTCCACCATACACTGAGTCTGCCATTTTGTTGTGCTGACCGAATGTATCATGGAAATTATTATACCCCTTACAGTGGACTCACAGTATTACTTAAATTATTAGTATTAATTAAATTATTATACCCCTTACAGTGGACTCACAGTATTAATTAAATTATTAGTATTAATTAAATTATTATACCCCTTACAGTGGACTCACAGTATTAATTTTTTATATTTAATTAATAATTTTCAGACATTTCAATAACATTTTCTGGACATTTTATAAATATTTTTTGGAAGTGTTTAACATTTGTTCCCAACATTTTAATAAAAATTTAAAAAAAAAACAATTCCAGACATGTTATTAACATCTTTCCTAACATAACAATAATAATATTTCTTGGACAATTAATCAAAATTTTTTCTGACATTTCATTACTGTTTTTTGGAAACGTCAATAATATTTTTTGGATATTTTATTATCATTTTTCTCTCAGCAGTCTGATCATTTCTTTTGGAAATTTTTGGAAAATTTTAGTTTTGTTTATTTTCTATTCCTGTGTTTTTCCTTTCTGATTTTCCTTTCTTGAATGTGTGTCAAATCTAAAAGAAAGAAATAAGATTAAAACTGTAAATAACAAAAAAAAAAAATATTTTTGGGAAATTTTATTACCATTTTTCCAGACATTTTGTTAGTATTATTATTATATTATATTTATCTATTTAGCCGTTTTTGAGGGGAATTTGAGTTTGGGTTAAAACGATCACTGCGAGGATTAATTTTGCAGATCAGGTTTCTTTCCATAAAGTTCTCATTGTCCCAGTGAGGTGCGCACACATAAACTAACAGCACAGGTTTATGATAACGTAGTCACTGAATGTAGAGTCTGTAGGCAAACCCCGGAGATCTTGCCTCCGGAAGAAGAGCGGAAGAGCCCTGGTTTCCGGTTGTAGACTGTTTGTAGTCCATGTGATACTGACCAATCACGTTCCGAGAATGGTGATAACATGACTCAGGTTCACACAACAGTGCCTGTATATTTAGAGAGTGTATAGTCGTGGACTGTACTGAGATCATGTTCACATTAACTTTATTTTTGTGTTAGATTACAGGCAGGTGTGGTTTAGTGCAGCTAACAAAACAAGATGGTGGACAACGTTGTGGGTAAAGACGACATGAACTCTGTGTTGGTTTGGATTGTAATAAGCTTTTGTGTCATGCAGTGTTTAAGTGTCTGATAATGAGTGATATGGTGAGAATATATCCTCCTTATTCCTGAGGTCACGACTGTGGAAATGATTCTGGTCACAACTTCCTGTGAGACAGAGGAAGTAGCAGTGAGCTAGTTCGTCCCATAGACTGTCTGTGGTTAGTCCCAGTGGCTACTCCTGGTGGCTAACCGCCAACGCTGGTTCTTTTCCAAAGTCATTTTCCTTTAGTTTATTTTATAACAAATATTTAACTAACGTTAACTCAGCATTTTCTAAAATGTCTCTGTGGAGCTCTGGTACCTGTTGCACTGTCCGTGTCTGTGGCGACCAACAACCAGTCTGAGCTACGTTTGTCTTCAGCAACTGTGTGTTGAACATGTGACCAGAACAAAAAGGGATTGTTCCTGTTGCCATGGTTACCATTGACATGAGAAATAAAACTACAAGAGTTTAAATCAGAGTTATCAGCAGAGAATGACACGTAGACTGACAGGTGCGTCACACACTGTCTTTCCCCGTCTGACTTCAGTCTCAACCTACATTAGAAAATAAACTGTGAAATATGTATTTAGTCATCAGGGCTGAGAACATGTCACTGATTTACTGTACTGCCTTTATATCATATAAACACATGGAGTTATTTATGTCACTGTGACTGAAGCCTGCTGCTAAATTCAGCTTCATGTTTCACTCACAACAGTTTTAATAAATCACAAGTTATAAAAACGTGTAAACTGCGTGGTTAACGCAGACGAGCGGAGGATTAGCTGGAAACATCACATATATTCACTTTACATGGAGCTACAGTTAATAGTGAATTATGTCTTAGTGTCAGAAATTAGAAATCATCTTTAGAGGGAGCAGATGTTACCTTAAGGCACAAGTACACTGGCTGCGTGGCCAAATGTACGCGTACATAGTGTGGTGCGCCTGTGTGAACACTTGCTGCAGCACGAGCCTGATACTGGTGGTCTCCACTAGGGGCAGACCACAGCACTCAGACACAGAGGTCGCAAAAAGCAAAGAAGGCGGTGACACTGTATTTCCAGATGTAGCAGGCTATACACAAACATGGATGCTCTCGATGAACAGGAGATTATAATTTTATGTCTTTTAAGATCTCGGCAGAGGAAAAGGCTTCGTCTCCGCCGCCATCAGAGATAGTATGTGCGGCCCGACCTCACGTTCACGGTCTCTAGAGGTCTACTTCGCACGCACGCCTCAAGTGTTCATGTCAATATTGCATCGCGCGCACGCGTCACGTTACGTCGCATCAAAGTGAGTGGCCTACGCGCCAAACGACCGCAAAATACGCATGGCAGCCATGATGCGTACGCGCATGTGTTGTCTGCAGCAATTATACTTCTCACATTAAGCTGCTCGGGACATGTTAAAGTTAGCAATATTTAAAAGGAGCTAGGCGAGCTAACTGTTAGCGTGCTAACTGTTAGCATGCTCAGTTGCTTTGAGATGGCTGTCAGAGATGGCACAGGTATGATCACATGATCCTGTTTGAGCAGGTGGTGTGTTCCACGTTTTAGGAAAGAAGAAGAGAGTACTGTAAACAAACTGTAAACAAACTGTAAACAAACTGTCACCACTGGACATTGCCTGTTTCGGCTCAATGCCGGGAGCTGCACCCATAATTCACACAAGGTATCATGGGGGCAGAAATAAGGTGGATAGAAACAGGACGTTGAGTCAGTAGTGGACCGTCTGAGATGTAATTTTAGAACGATTCTGTCTGATGTTTTTTTTTTTTTGTATTCTCAATAAACCTCTTCAGCTTTTCCCCGCCTCGTGTGAGTGCTGTGGATCTTCACAAAAGGAACACAATCAGAAGTGAGACACCTCGCAGACCAGGTGGCCGAGGAAAGATGATATGACTCACTCTGACCCAGCCCTGATCGTGACCATCAACCCCCTCAGGAGGGCCGCAGACGGGTTTCTGACAGTTTATCTGGACGATGGAGAAAAAGTTTGTGGGTAACACTTGGAAAGAGAACCTGAAGCTGTCGGATGAACACAGAGCAGTGACAAGACAAGAGTTGCACCTGTCATGGAGGAGGAGGAGGAGGAGGAGGAGCAGGAGGAGGGGCAGGAGGAGGAGGAGGAGCAGGAGGAGGAGGAGGAGCAGGAGGAGGAGGAGGAGGAGGAGGAGCAGGAGGAGGAGGAGGAGCAGGAGGAGCAGGAGGACAGAGCACAGAGCTCCTCTGCTGTCAGATCATTATCTCATCAAATGAAACAGATTCCAGATTAATGTTTGGTACATGAGGTCATTTTATAAACACTGACTTTAATTAATCACTTTCTCTTTGTCAATAGATCAGTTATTGATCATAAAGTTATTGATTATAGAGCAGCACGAGGAGCTCCTGAGGAACAAGCTGTGACTTTAAAACTCGGTGTAATGTCCCTTTATGTGTCCCAGCAGGCTGTTGCAGACGGACACACTCCGGTTTTGTTTTGGTCCCCTGTGACGTCACGGGCCACGCACACACACCTGTCTGCGCGGCAGCAGTGATATGTGTTGTGTCAGAATCAGGAAGTGGTGTTATTATGCCTTACACCGGCTGTGTGTGTGTGTGTGTGTGTGTGTGTGTGTGTATGTGTGTGTGTGTGTGTGGTACCTTGCAGGGGAACGGCAGGGTGGACGCCACCTTCTCCATGGCCAGGTTCCGGATGCTCGGGGTGAGCGGGCCTCGGCAGGTCGGGCAGCAGCTCAGCTTCTGGCGGCACAGGTTACAGACCAGGTGACCTGCCTGACACTGCAGAATGGGCGGCAGCACGTAGTCGAAACATACCGGACACTCGAACAGCGCCGTGAGCTCCGGGGGCTGCCCGGGCAGGCCGGCCCCGCTCAGGGACACGGCGGAGGAAGGGGCGGCAGACCCCGACCCGGACACGGAGCTCACCCCGGCGGCTGCTGCCGCTGCTGCGGCCGCGGCTGCTGCTGCTGCAGCGGCGGCGGCGGCAGCGGAGCCTCCGGACCCCCCGTGCTTCCCTCCGCCTGTCTTACCGGCCCCGAGTCCTCCGGCTCCGGCTGCGGCTCCGGCTGAGGACGGACGGCTCATGGCTTCCAGCTGCGCTCCGTTTCCTGGGAACTACCGTCATCTACTGTTTACTACCGGACGTCGCTCCGGGCCCCCGGAGACACAACATGGCGGCTGCCAGTTTGTATCGCCTGACGCGCGCTCTCATTGCACGCTGCGTCACTGACTGACAAGGCTCTCAGCCAATCAGAGAGCAGAGGCGTGTCATTATGTAATGGATGGCAGCAGAATGACACACAAGCATAAATACAAATAAATAAATAAATGAGGCTTAGTTGAAATCAGCAGCACGACATAATGACAATAATAATAATAATAATAATAATAATATCATTATTATTATTCATAAACCATCATATATCAATATACAAACCATTCACAAAAATCTCATTAAATAAATACACATTGCCCATTTTATTATTTTGAAATTATTATTATTATTATTATTATTATTATTATTATTATTATCATTATTAGCACATTAAATCACATTATCACATTATCAAAATATTCAGAATTAATCCAATTTAAATTTGGATTTTATACGTAAAGTTATACAATTTATATTTATAAATTAAATTTATATTTATTTAAATTTATACAGAAATACAAATGAATACATAAATAAGGCTTAGTTTAAATGAGCAGCACGACATATTGACAATATTCATTGTTATGATTATTACTATTATTATTATCACATCATATATCAATATATGCAGACAATATACTAAAATCTAAATAAATACATAAACATGGCCCATTTTTTTCTTTTGAAATTATTATTATTATATTAATAATAACAATAATAATAATAATTTAAATGGTCAGAATTTAGTAAACCAATATATAGATACAACATCCAAAAACATATAAATGAAATACATGAGGCTCATTTTAAATATCAGTTTTAATATTAATGATAATCATACCAAATATAATAATATAATTATTGTAAATCAAATATTCAGAATTTCATGAACCAATATTAACAAACAACACACAACAAAGGCTTACCTAAAATATAAAACATATACTACACCTAATATTTAAACATACTGAAAACTTACTAACAAGTCAGTAATTTACTGTAAATGTACAGTCAAATATTTCACAGTTCACCTGCACATGTAAAGTGTTTTATTTGCTTCTTCTCTGTTCTTTTATATCTTACTATGCGAATAAACTTTAACATAAAATGTGCAAGTTAAATTAAGAGATATGAAAATAACATATAAAATAAAATATTATAAATTAGACAGTTATTGCAAATGGATTTTTTTTATTTCTGCTAAAAAAAAAAAACAACAACAGCATGGCTGAAAAGGAGCAGAGAGAAATCTGAATCATAAATATGCACAAAATTAAGTATAAATATGTGAACAGCTGTAAAACAGTAAATAAAATGTGACAGTGTTTTATGTTTTTTCCCAGCAGCCTGTGTGTTTAGGGCTCAGGTCTGGTTCAGTAAAACACACAGATGAGACAAATTATTAATTATTATTAATCACATGTTTTTATGATCATATGTTTTGGTGAAAAACAAAACAAGATCATTTAATGTGTCTCTGGCGCCTCTCAGTGGAGCTTCAGGTGTAACCGCATCCTGCATCTTCATCAGCCTCCTCCTCCTCCTCTTCCTCACATCACCAGCTCCCACAGAGACAAACATCTTAACTGTGTCTGTCTTATATTTAATGTGACGTCACCTGAGCTGCTTGGTTTAGTTTTCTTACACTTCACTGTGTTCACTCAGTCACTCTTCATCACTGAGTCACTGATCAGCTGCCCTCCATGTGTAGGTCTTTTTCAGTTTTTTACTTTGTCACAATAAAAAAACTTTTAATTTAACATCATCCACCGTGTCCTTTCCTGTATTTGTCACGGCCTCAGAGCCGGGTTATGACAAACTGGCAGCTCATGTCCGTCTCTCAATTCAAGTCAGTGCCAACATATGCCGTGTACATAAAACATGTTAAAAATTATTGCACATAAAATAAAAAACTGAATAAAGTTATTTCTCATGATATCAGTATAAATATGAAATATTACTGGCTGTGTGATTTCAGTGCAGCTTTGGCGTAAAACCAGTCTTTTGGTGTGTGTTTTAATTGTGTGATAATGCTTGACTGAGGGCAGGAGGTCAGACAGGTGGTGGGCAGGAGGTCAGACAGGTGGTGGGCAGGAGGTCAGACAGGTGGTGGGCAGGGTGAGACGAGTCCTTCGGGATGCTTGTTGTATCAGGAGGCAGTGTCCAGGGCAGGTCGGTGTGTGTGTTGCCTATTTTCTGTGCAGCTGTTATCACTCTCTGCAGGACCTTCCTGTCGTGCTACGCCAGGACGCCATGGGTCAGGACAGTGTCCACAGAGCGGAGACAGGAGGACAGCAGCAGCAGCAGAGGCTGTGACAGCTCCATCCTCCTGAGAGCTCACAGGGAGTGTAGTCCCTGCTGTGCCTTCGTGATCACACAGTCGGTGTGTGTGCTCAGTGATGTCCTCTGAGATGTGTGTGTGCCCAGGAACAGGAAGGCTGACGTCCTCTCCACCTGACCAGGTGAATAAAAATCTTTTTCTTATTCTGATTATGACACATATTCCAGATGTGATCTATCTGGAATGTTCATGCAGTTTAATGGCTCTTTTGAACTTCAGTGAAATTAAACCTGCTGATGTCATCAGGTCGAGGACCACAGGATGACATCATCAAGTGGAGGACCACAGGATGACATCATCACATCCACACAGGAACAAATAATAAAAGAAAGATGAAGCTGAAATAAATTAAAGTCATTTTAATGTTAATGAATCAAAGTTTGACCCAGATTTTCTGTCTTCAAAGTTATACTGAGCTCATGTGATCACAACTAAACCATCTCCATGACAACTGAGTAAACTCCATGTGTTGATGAGGGCCATGAGATCTGAGGTCTGCACGACGAAGCAGGATTTGGAGTTAGCGAGGTGACTTTGGGGTTAACAGATAAGCTGATCACATCCTGTCAACAGAGATCGTTCACTCACTGAACACATGATTTTAGCAGGATTTTAATTTATGTAAAGTTTATTTTAGTCCTCAATGAGAGTGCTGCTACTCTGACGTTACTTTAAAGTGTGTGACATTTATCAAATGGAGCTCAGTTACAAAAATGATCCTGTCTGATATTTTACAGTTTACATTCAGGTTAAATAAAGAAAATCTGGCTTTAGTTTCAAAGACTGAAGTTCTGCTTTACAACGAGTCACAACACAAGAAACATTTTCTGTTTGAATGTTTGAGACATCAGACTGAACGACACTCGGCACACTAACGAGTTAAAACCTTTAAAAAGTTTTATTTTTCTGTGAAACACAAAAGTCAAAGCTGCTCAGAGAGATGATGGTTTTTCTTTAGCTTCAGTAATAACTCAGTGCATGACACAGGACTGAGAGAACATTTGGCTGCAGGCTGAATTCATTAAAGGTTGTTTCAATGTCAGCCAGATTCAGAAGCCATAAAACTCAGCTGCATTATCTTTATTAGACAAGTTACAGAAACTAGCTGCTGTTGTTGTTTTCAGCTGAAAGTCTGTCCATAGAGTCTCACTGTGGTGAATCTGAAACTGTATTTTACAGTCATTTCAAAATGGAGGCAGCACGATGGAGCAATTGTTACAACTGTTGCCTCACAGCAAGATGGTTCCTCGTTTGGCCTGGTGGGTTTCCTCCAGGTGCTCTGACATGTTCTCCCTGTGTCAGCGTGGGTTTCCTCCAGGTGCTCCGACATGTTCTCCCTGTGTCAGCGTGGGTTTCCTCCAGGTGCTCTGACATGTTCTCCCTGTGTCAGCGTGGGTTTCCTCCAGGTGCGCTGACATGTTCTCCCTGTGTCAGCGTGGGTTTCCTCCAGGTGCTCTGACATGTTCTCCCTGTGTCAGCGTGGGTTTCCTCCAGGTGCTCTGACATGTTCTCCCTGTGTCAGCGTGGGTTTCCTCCAGGTGCTCTGACATGTTCTCCCTGTGTCAGCGTGGGTTTCCTCCAGGTGCTCTGACATGTTCTCCCTGTGTCAGCGTGGGTTTCCTCCAGGTGCTCTGACATGTTCTCCCTGTGTCAGCGTGGGTTTCCTCCAGGTGCTCTGACATGTTCTCCCTGTGTCAGCGTGGGTTTCCTCCAGGTGCTCTGACATGTTCTCCCTGTGTCAGCGTGGGTTTCCTCCAGGTGCTCTGACATGTTCTCCCTGTGTCAGCGTGGGTTTCCTCCAGGTGCTCTGACATGTTCTCCCTGTGTCAGCGTGGGTTTCCTCCAGGTGCTCTGACATGTTCTCCCTGTGTCAGCGTGGGTTTCCTCCAGGTGCTCTGACATGTTCTCCCTGTGTCAGCGTGGGTTTCCTCCAGGTGCTCTGACATGTTCTCCCTGTGTCAGCGTGGGTTTCCTCCAGGTGCTCTGACATGTTCTCCCTGTGTCAGCGTGGGTTTCCTCCAGGTGCTCTGACATGTTCTCCCTGTGTCAGCGTGGGTTTCCTCCAGGTGCTCTGACATGTTCTCCCTGTGTCAGCGTGGGTTTCCTCCAGGTGCTCTGACATGTTCTCCCTGTGTCAGCGTGGGTTTCCTCCAGGTGCTCTGACATGTTCTCCCTGTGTCAGCGTGGGTTTCCTCCAGGTGCTCTGACATGTTCTCCCTGTGTCAGCGTGGGTTTCCTCCAGGTGCTCTGACATGTTCTCCCTGTGTCAGCGTGGGTTTCCTCCAGGTGCTCTGACATGTTCTCCCTGTGTCAGCGTGGGTTTCCTCCAGGTGCTCTGACATGTTCTCCCTGTGTCAGCGTGGGTTTCCTCCAGGTGCTCTGACATGTTCTCCCTGTGTCAGCGTGGGTTTCCTCCAGGTGCTCTGACATGTTCTCCCTGTGTCAGCGTGGGTTTCCTCCAGGTGCTCTGACATGTTCTCCCTGTGTCAGCGTGGGTTTCCTCCAGGTGCTCTGACATGTTCTCCCTGTGTCAGCGTGGGTTTCCTCCAGGTGCTCTGACATGTTCTCCCTGTGTCAGCGTGGGTTTCCTCCAGGTGCTCTGACATGTTCTCCCTGTGTCAGCGTGGGTTTCCTCCAGGTGCTCTGACATGTTCTCCCTGTGTCAGCGTGGGTTTCCTCCAGGTGCTCTGACA